AACACATGTAGGACACCCAGTATTAAAGGTGATTTATTCTTTCAAAGCAAATACATTTTTACACACTGGTACTGACTAGTATTCCCATGTTTCTCTTCTCCCTCAGGTTTTTTCTCCATCACTGAGCTAATGTGACCCCAGCACTGATGGAGAGTGGCGGGGGAGGGTAAAACTAGGATGCTGTGCAGGCAACTGACATCCTCCTTATCAACTGATGATATCATTGGTTGACAGTATGCCAGCAGCTAGAAGGTAGTGGTGCATAGTGGTGCACAATGCAAACCTGTGGCTTTGTGTAACTAAAAGGCAGGCTTGTATACAAGTTTTGAGCAATTTTTAGATATTTTGCCAAGGCACCCCTGAAGGAACCTCAAGGTACCCCATTGTGGGCACCCTGGTTGAGAAATGCTGGTCTAAAGTACACAAGTTCTTCGATCTGTTGTACACAGCTCTTTTTTCTGCCACCAGTCAATGTTTCTGGATATATTTAAAATTTTAAGATAGGTAGCTAACTGCCTTTTCAAATATGTGTACGTTTCTCTCATATGTCACTCAGTGGGAGCGCAACCTGGATCTGGAGGACTGGAATAGGGCCTGGTCACTTATAGCTAAATGTTGATTTAATACGACTACACTGGAGTTGGCATACAAGGTATTGTTTCGTTGGTATTGGGTTTCGACTCGTTTGGCCAAGGCGAACCCTGCCTGTAGTGATCGATGCTTTCGGGGTTGTGGCCATCGTGTTGATGTATTGCATATCTGGTGGTCATGCCCGAGGCTGCTTCGTTTTTGGTCTTGTGTGTTTAGCCTCCTTTTCACCTAGTTCCATCTCTCCATACTCCGGGATGCCCGGTACGCTTTGCTTCATTGTCCCATCCGAGCCTCTTGGCTCACCAGCAGAAGTTGGCTTCCTATTTGTTTTTGTCGGCCACTAGAACAATCGCTCAGGCCTGGAAGAGCCCGTTTGTCCCTCTTCAGGGGTTGCGGGACTGTATGACCACTATGATGCTCAATGAACAGATGTCGAGCATCTGTAACGACTCCCAATGGAAGTTTTTGAAAATATAGGAGCCGTGGTTATAATATGCCTTTCCCATGCTCCCCCCGGCTAGTCTGGAGTTGTGATGTTGCTCGGTATTGGCGTTCTCGGACCCCTGCTCTTGGACTTGTTATCTTCTTCCTTTTGTACTCCTCTTTCCTTTTCTTTTTCTGTTTGTTTTTGGTGTGGCGGTGGATAGCTGCCTTTAGTTTGAGTGACTGTCAGTGTTATACTGATGTTTTTGTCAATTATGTGCCATTGATAGCCCCTGCGTGGGCACACCTTTTGCTCTGTTGGTGTCAGAGCACTGGTGTTTTACTTTTTTATGTGCAATTGATAGCCCCTGCGTGGGTGTGTTTTGCTGCTCCTGTCTTAAACAATTTATAAATTAATAAAAACATTGTAATACAAATTCTGAACCAATGGGCTTCATGGTAATACAATGAATGTTGCAATGCCATTGCTGCTGATCAAAACAAAGTCTATTTTTGTAAACATTTCAGCCCATTTGCTTAGGTTTTGGAAAAGTGATAAAAGTAAAAAGCAACAATAAGCTATTTAAAAAAAATATATATAAAAAGGGGTAAATATTTTTTTTTAATTTCATGTAACAAAAATATGAAAGCTCACACACACCTAGACTTAGGGTAAAATCAATCAAGCTGCAAGTGTGTTCTGCAAGCAATACAGGATATGAGTTGAGGAAAAGGAAATTGTTCAAGATTAGTGTTACATTACCCCAAGATGCAAATCTCTGCTTTTGTGGTTTTAAAATACAGAACTTATTAACTTTTATGAAGTTTCGTTTATGGGTCATGAGACAATGTTATTTTTCAAGAAAACCTCTCACCATCAACATTAAAATACGGGTATATGAGGGTGTGGCATGATGACCATATCATGACCATGACCATGTGTAGCATGTTGACCAGGTGTCATGGACGATAGTAGGAGTGGCTGTTAATTTGGGAGGGGATGATATTACAAACGTCTGTGTAGTAGGTGCCAAAATGTTATTGCCTTCACCTCTTGACTGATATGAAGTGTTCATGCAGTTGAAGGTGACCACAAGGACCATCAAGGCCTACATTCTGGATGGTGATACAAGCCGTGACGTAAACCAGGACGTAAGAGCCGGATAACAGAAGTCTGATATCTCCAGAAGCATCCTCCGGTTGGCCTTAGAATCTCGAGGAGGCGGTTGACAATCAAGACAAGGACAATCAATCGGTATAAGAAGACATGAAATGAATGGACTAGCCCGTACATTTAAGCACAGGCGGCTAATAACCCTGGAACCCAGCTGCTGTTTCCATATCCTGAACTGATTCGCCAGATGTCCTGGTGGAAGGGGGGGCTCTTAATTCAGCAGATGTTTAGAGTCCGAGAGGAGGCATGTGATATAATCTGTCTTATCCTCTTTCTGGTGATCTCTAATACCAATCCACTCCCATAGCTCCTGTGGCATCCATCGTCTACTCTCCTCTCTTGTCCGTGTCAACATCGACTTCTTTCGTAGCCTTTAATCAACCGATCTGATTGGTTAGACCATCCGGTTTCACGTTTGTTCGTACCCTTGCCCTTGGTTGTGTCTTCTGCAACATTCTTCCTCAGTCTTCGAGAAAAAAGTTGACCCTTGAGTGGCCCTCATCACCCAACGCTGCTCTACCCTTGTAGCTCCATTGTCTTGAGCCGTGAACATTCTGTTTTCTGTTTGTTGATCCTTGTTGGGCAATCCCGTATAGGGAAGAAGGGTTCACGTTTCGCCAGAAAGGTGGGTGACAATCTCATTGAGTGTTTTGGGTGCTGTATGGGCTGTTTATAAATAACACGGGAAAAGAAAATTTAAAGGAAAGTGAGTTGTTTATCATGATGGCCAAGAATGCTTTATCTTGTGGTCCTCGGGAAAATCAAAGAAAGGATCTTTCTTTGGTCATTGAGGGTTTTCCTTCCACTCGTGTTTATTATTATAAATAACCCCCTCAAATGTCTTATTGAATTACTTTTATAGATAATAAACTGTAATTGTATGTATCAGGATATACAGCATGAACAAAACTATAACTAAAATGATAATGAATGTCGGCAACTAGTAACATTGATAAATAGAATGCTAGCATAAAATTATCTCTTCCATACATTCAGGAATGTTCTTGAAATGGAGGGGACATCGCCAACTATTACCGCCAAACTAATTGCAGAAATGACACAAAATAATCCATGTCCTATGTACAGAAATATATCAGTTGTGGAAACATTCATGTGTGAGAGATTGCTGTGTGGTCTATCTGTCTATCTGTCCTGTCTGTATCTGTTAAATATCTATACCTTTATCTAATCTATATTAATATTTATCTATATCTAAAATTATTATTATTATACAGGATTTATATAGTCCCAATAGTTGTGTAACAATCTATCTATTTATATACAATATATTGTATGTCTATGATATATCTATTATCTTTCTATACATTAGCTATTATTATTATAATACAGGATTTATAAACTTCCAATACTTTGTGCAGCACTCTCTATTTGTGGAGCTATTTATTCCTATATACTGCATGTCTATCTATCTATTATCTATCTATCTATCTATCTATCTATCTATCTATCTATCTATCTATCTATCTATCTATCTATCATCTATCTATCTATTATCTATCTATCTATCTATCTGTCTGTCTGTCTGTCTGTCTGTCTGTCTGTGTATATCTATGTTTGTGTGTGTGTGCGTATGAAACTAGTTATATATACTGTCTGTCTGTCTGTCTATCTATCTATGAAACTAGTTATATATACTGTGTATCTATCTGTCTGTCTGTCTGTCTATGAAACTAGTTATATATACTATGTGTGTCTGTCTGTCTGTCTATGAAACTAGTTATATATACTGTCTGTCTGTCTGTCTGTCTGTCTGTCTGTCTATCTATCTATCTATGAAACTAGTTATATATACTGTCTGTCTGTCTGTCTGACTGTCTGTCTGTCTGTCTGTCTGTCTGTCTATGAAACTAGTTATATATTCTGTCTGTCTGTCTGTCTGTCTGTCTGTGAAACTAGTTATATATACTGTGTGTCTATCTATCTATTTTTATATCTACTATCTCTCTATCATATAATTATCTATATTTATATGTTATAGCCAGCTACCTATCTATCTACACATCTATGATTTTTTTTTTAAATCTATCTATCCATCCATCCACCTACTCATCCATCTATCTTTTTATATACAGTATATGTCTATCATCTACTATCTATCTGTCTCTTTTTATGTACAGTATATGTCTTTGATCTATTAAATATCTATATGTTATCTATTATTATTATACAGGATTTATATAGTCCCAATAGTTGTGTAGCACTATATCTATCTATCTAGTTTTTTATAGTGTACTGTATGTCTATGATATATCTATTATCTATTTATACATTATTATTATTATAATACAGGATTTATAAAGTTCCAATAGTTTGTGCAGTACTCTATCTGTGGAGCTATTTATTCCTATATACTGCTTGTCTGTCTGTCTGTCTGTCTATCATTCTATCTGTTGAATGATCCATCAAACTATCTATGAAACTAGGTCGGTCTGTCTGTCTGTCAGTATACTGTATGTTGTGATATATCTATTATCTATCTATACATTATCTATTAATATTATTATTATTATAATACAGGATTTATATAGTTCCAATAGTTTGGGCAGCCCTCTGTTTATCTATCTATGGATCTATTTATTCCTATATACTGTCTATATATCTGTCTGTCTGTCTTGTTACATACATTTAGTGTAACAGAAGTTCCAGCAGATCTCTCACAGGTACAATGGATTCTTTTTGTTGATGTTGCTTTTTTCTCTCCCAGGCGGTGGGAGCCGTGTCGAGGTTTCGCCGGAAGCTTACCGTTACAGACTCCGAGTTGGCATTGCCGGTCCTGACCCTTGGCACTGGCATGCAGGGATTTGGCCCAGCTTGTATCTTCCTACGGAAGGGCATTGCGGAGAAGCAGGGGGTGAGTGTCTGAAATATCACCTGGGAGGGGTATAAAATGGAAAAAATCATTCTGATCCAGACAGTAATCCTACAATTGTCATTATAACTGTCAGCTTTGGATTTTATTGGTGGGGTAAGTTATAAGGAACACTGGACTTTTCTGAAAGTGGAACTGTCTGTGCTGCTTGTGATCCCCAATTTGTCCTTTAATTGTCCTACAGCTGTGTGGAAGTGGGGGAACCTTCATAATTTGCACTGATGATTATCCAGAACCCACAGTTTGAATGTAAAGAAAATGATCTCAGCCTGTAATATTTATTCATAGATTACTGGCAGTCATGACATAGGATAACATGCTGGGGGGGTTACTGGCTGTAGAAAAAAAAGGCAAAAACAAAAAACAGCTGCTGTAAAAATGTCCTAATTTGCCGTGTTTTTTCACATTTGCGTTTTTTTAGCATTTAACAAAAAAAAAGTTTTTTTTTTTTTGCTAAACATAGTCATAAAGCACCAGTTTGCTGCTATTTAGCGCATTTTGCTGTGTTTTTCAGCATTAGAGCATTTTTATAGCTAAAAAACTCCTCTAGAAACCCCTTCAGGTTTTTTTTTTTTTTTCCAGCCAAAAAACATAGATTCCAGTCTGTGTGTGTATGGACACCTAGGATAACATGCGGGGGGGTTATTGGCTGTAGAAAAAAATGGCAAAAGCAAAAGACAGCCGCTGTGAAAACGTCCAGTGTGCATGAGGACTTAGGCTCCATGCACACTGGGGGGGGGGGCGTTTTTTAATAATGCTGATAACGTTAGCTGTGTAAAGTCACGTTAAAAACCAGAGTTTTTTTAGCATCTTTGCATTAGCGTTTTGCCACATTTTGCCACTTTTCTGTGTTTTTTTTAACCAAAAAAATATTTTTATGCTAAAAAAAAGTCCAAAAGCACCGGTTTGCCGCGATTTAGCACATTTTGCAACATTTTTTTGCGTATTGTTTAAAACAAAAAAAAATATTTTTTTGCTGAAAAAAGTCCCAAAGTGCCGGTTTGCTGTGATTTAGCGCGTTTTGCCATGTTTTTTCATTTTGTTTAGTGGGTTTTTTTTGCTGTCAAAAAGTCCAAAAGCACCGGTTTGCCACGATTTAGCATGTTTTTCCGCATTTTTTCAAATTTTTTTAACCAAAAAATATTTTTTTTGTTGCTGAAAAAAAGTCCAAAAGCACCGGTTTGCCACAATTTACCGTGTTTATCAGTGTTAGAGCATTTTTACAGCTAAAAAACTTCTCTAAAAACCTGCTAGTTTTGTGGGTTTTTTTCCAGCCAAAAAACGCCCCTCCCAAAAAATGCTGATTACAGTCTGTGTGTGTATGGACACATAGGATAACATGCTGGGGAGTTTACTGGCTGTAGAAAAAAAAGTCAAAAGCCAAAACCAGCCGCTGTAAAAACGTCCCGTGTGTAGGAGGACTTATTCTAAATGAGATAAAACAAAAATATTTTCAGTCGCCTTATGGCAGAGGTCTATTACATATGTATTCATTGACTGCAGGCTGGGGCAGCCTCTGCTATACAGCTATTGAGGAACTACAACTCCCAGAATGCTCAGCCAGCATTAGGCTAGAAGTTCATGCTGGGGATTGCAGTCCTTATTTATTCATTGTAATTTACCTTCACATATACTTGTATATACTCCATATATGTTACACTTCATTTCTGTAATACCCAGGGGCGGACTGACCAACTGGAAACACGGGCACTGCCCAAGGGCCCAGGGTCAGTAGGGGGCCCCATGAGATGCCCCTGGTACCTTTCATAGGCTTTTTTGAGTTTGGGCAAGGACACAGGGGCCCCATGATCCCCTATTGCCCTATTGTGTAAGTCTGAAGGGAAGGCTGGGGGTCAGATTTCAGGGCTTTCAGGGATACTTGTTGGACACTTTGTAGCAATCTTTCCATCCTGAGGTGGATGAATGTCTGTGTGTAGCCACCTGCCTTCCTTTTCTTACAGTCTTCTCTTGTTTCACAGTATCGGGAGTTGGGAACAGACGAGATTGAAGGTAAAAATCTTTTCTGTTGATTATTTCCTCCTTAACGTTGCAATTTTGAGGCGCTTTGCCTTCCGGCAGGACAACGCGGATCGGGCGCCCACTTACCTTCCTGGCAATGCAACACGTGTAGCGTGTACTGTGGCGTGTTCTAGTGCAGCTGCATGGACTGCTATATAGTATATGCATTGGGCTGCCATGCTGAGCAATTGGCGACTCACATATCACATGTATACCCCATACGCTGGCATGTGCAGGACGTCATAGAGTGGGACCTATGGCAAGTTGCTGTTGGGTCAGTAAAATCAGTTTCTGATTGGCTGTGGTTGGGGTAATGGCGGCCTGCCCATTGCACCTCTTACTGACTGTTCCTTTAAAGTGTCTCAAGCCCGACCAATCCCAACTGAGCATTTGGTGAAAAAAAAAAATCCTAGTCCAAGTTGACCTTTAGGCTTCGTTTACACCAGGTCTAGGACAAGGGGCTGTGCCCCCCCCCTTCCCGATTTTAGTTGAGCCCCCAGGTCTCTGAGAGTGTGTCCACTGATCTGTGAGCCAATCTGATGGGGAAATTGATGTATAGGAGCACTGTGATGGCGATAAATTCTGTATAATAATAATAATAATAAGAAGAAGAAGGAAACACTCTGATGGGGACAGTTGATGTAAGGGGGCACTCTGTTGAGGATCCTGATGTAAGGGGGCACTCTGATGAGGATCCTGATGTAAGGGGGCACTCTGATGGGGTAACTGATCATATATAAGGGGGCACTCTGATGAGGATACCTGATGTAAAGGGGCACTCTGATGCAGACAGTTGATGTAAGAGGACACTCTGATGAGGATCCTAATGTAAGGGGGTACTCGGATGGGGTAACTGATCATATGTAAGGGGGCACTCTGATGAGGACAGTTGATGTAAGGGGGTACTCTGATGGGGACACTGATGTAAAGGGGTACTCAGATGGGAACACTTAATGTAAAGGGGGGGGGCTTTGATGGGAACACCTAATATAAGGGGGGGGGGCTCTGATGGGGACCCTGATGTAAGGGGTCACTCTGATGGGGATGTAATGGAGCACTCTGATGGGGACACCTGATGTAAGGAGACACTCTGATGAGGATGCCTAATGTAAAGGGGGAGGGCTCTGATGGGAACAACTAATGTAAGGGGGGCTCTGATGGGGACACCTAATATAAGGGGGCTCTGATGGGGACACCTGATGTAAGGGGAACTCTGATGGGAACACCTAATATCGGGGGGGCTCTAATGGGACCACCTTATGTAAGGGGGGCTCTGATGGGAACACCTAATATCGGGGGGGGGGCTCTGATGGGAACAACTAATGTAAGGGGGGCTCTGATGGGACACCTGATGTAAGGGGGGGCTCTGATGGGACACCTGATGTAAGGGGGGCTCTGATGGGAACACCTCATGTCAGGTAGCACTCTGACAGGGACTGTCATGCAGAAAGACGCACATCATCTCATCGGTGGCTCTCTCTTCCCCTCCGCAGAGCTCCGCGATGCCTTTCTAGAGTTCGACAAAGACAAAGATGGCTTCATCACTTGCAAGGACCTCGGCAACCTGATGAGGATTATGGGATACATGCCGACAGAGATGGAGCTGATCGAGTTATCGCAGCAGATCAACATGAACCGTGAGTGCTGGGGGGGGGGGGGGGGGGGTGCCCAGTGTACATAGTATAGAGGTGGTCCTCCTGCACTACCCGAACTGCAATGACCCCCAAGAAAGTGGCTGCAAACACCCAACTATATTCCAAATAAAAAAGTGAGAGGGGGCTGCACTACTCAGTGCATGATCAATAAACCAGAAATACAGACATTGAACATATACTGAACACGCACATTGAACATATACTGAATACATACATGCCTCTCATCCAAGTGTAAACATACCACATGCAAACGACATGTGACTGGGTGCGATCAATAACAAATGACAGTAACAGCAGCACAAAATACTACAATGTGACAAAAGTGAACATAATAATAATAATAACTAGAAAAGCTCCAATATTTCTGGGGAAATTGTGAGAAGTGTTCTTGCCTCCACCCGTAGTCTACAACTGGAGTGGGCGGAGTAACTGGGTGGAGTGGATTGTCACTCTGCTGCCTGCTCACACACCTGGGTTCCTATGGCAACTCACTCTACAGCAAGGGCAGAGAAGAGCGGTTAAAAACAAACTGCTCCAACTTGCTCACTTCACTGGCGGTTGCCATCTTCAAACGGTTGTAATTTAAAAATTATAAATCCTACAGTAAAAAGCTTTATATTGTAAGAATCACGAGGCCCAGACCTACACTTTGATGCATAGAATGTCTCTGAAATATTAAAAATGAAGGCACAGTCGTAGTTTAGAAATTGCCCTTCAAATTTGAGGTGGCTACAGTGGAGTTTCAATGAAAGTCAAGGGGCGGCGTGAGTTGCAAACAAATGGTCATATTGTGAAAACTATCAGGACTATGGCTTAGCTGTGGACTAATTTTTAGTGGCAGCAGGGATAGCTGAACGTTTTGATATAAGATTTGTGTAGGAGGGATTGAAAATGAGGGAGTGATGGCAGTTTAGATATCATGTCCTGATTTTTTCAGCTCACACTCTAGTTTTGAACATTCCGCCATTCATTCCTATGGGACCAATTTCACCACAAAAACCGCGATATTTCGTGAACTATTTGGCGAAACGTTCCACAAAGTAATAGCACACCAATCGGGAACAATCCGCATGTTTCGGTATATTACTGTCTATGTAGTGTAAAAACTGTGGGAGGAGTTAGGGGGGTAAATGTGGCTATAATAATAATAAGAATCTATATGTGAGATAACAGGAAGTGGTCGCCATGCAGGAACACTTAATGATGATGATGATGATGTGTATCATGTGATAAATGTGACTCAGTCCCAACAAATATTATTAGATAAAGTGACTCAGTCCCAAAAAACATGACAGTCCCAAGACAGGAAAAAACACGGTAAATCTTCAGTGTACGCCGTGAAACATCCAGCGCAGCATAAATATACAGAAACGTCCTCTTCCGGCTAGCGTGCGCGCTCACCATCAAAATGCGACCAGCAAGGAGTCACAAAGCACAGAGAACCTCAAATGATGATTCCAAGAAATTGGTCCTCGATAGCAATCAAAGAGCGAAAGGACATCTCCAATGGTGCTGGGGAAGTGATGTAACGCGTAGGATGGAAGCGTGGTGACGTCATATCCGGTACAGACAGCAGCACCTGATCCCATACACCTTCCCTGCAGCTTTTTGCAGCAAGAATTTTGCCTTTTTTTTTTTTGGTCTGCGGACCTATAGTAAATGCGAGTAGCTATTTTTGGATGTTGTTCATAATAAAGTTTGTGACATATTACACTATGGGGGTCTTCTTGTTTCTATGTGAGGGGCTGGAGGTGATGGAGGTCTGCGGCCATTTCTGGAGCATGCCTGTGAATGTTTGTCAGCGCCATTGGAGATGTCCTTTCGCTCTTTGATTGCTATCGAGGACCAATTTCTTGGAATCATCAGTTGAGGTTCTCTATGCTTTGTGACTCCTTGCGGGTCTCATTTTGATGGTGAGCGCGCACGCTAGCCGGTGGAGGACATTTCTGTATATTTATGCTGCGCTGGATGTTTCACGGCGTACACTGAAGATTTAGTGTGTTTTTTCCTGTCTTGGGACTGTCATGTTTTTTGGGACTGAGTCACTTTATCTAATAATATTTGTTGGGACTGAGTCACATTTATCACATGATACACATCATCATCATCATCATCAAGTGTTCCTGCATGGCGACCACTTCCTGTTATCTCACATATATTATAGTCAAATTTACCACCCTATGTGAGATAACAGGAAGTGGTCGCCATGCAGGAACACATGATGATGATGATGATGTGTATCGTGTGATAAATGTGACTCAGTCCCAAAAAACATGACAGTCCCAAGACACAGGAAAAAACACAGTAAATCTTCAGTGTGCGCCGTGAAACATCCAGCATACATGTTTCGTGTTTTGTGACTCCTTGTGGGTCGCATTTGAAGGCGAGTGCACTCGCTAGCCGGTGGACGTTTTCGTATATTTTTGCTGCTCTGGATGTTTCACGGCGTACACTGAAGATTTACTGTGTTTTTTCCTGTGTCTTGGGACTGTCATGTTTTTTGGGACTGAGTCACGTTTATCACACGATACACATCACCATCATTATTATTATGATTACAATGTGTATTGAGAGCTGGTGGTGAGATGATGTAACAGGAAGTACAGGCCCCGCCCCTGAGGATCGCACAGAGCATGTTTCTGCCTGTGCATGGAGTAGCTACCCTAAAACAAGGAATATTTGGAGATTCTTTTTTTTTTTGTTTAATGGAATTTCCCGAACATCCATACACACGTGTTCTGCCTCCTGTCAAATAATTTAGCTTCAGTACTTTCTGCCTTACTGACCAGGAACGAGCATAAAGATTAAAAATTCCATCTGTTTGCTGGCGTTAGTTTGTTGCATGCATATTCCTCCCAAGACAGGTTTCTGACACTGGGGGGAACTGACTTGGTGTCACTGACATCCCCAGTGACACCAATACACTGATCAGTACTAAAAAAAACACTGATACTGTACTAATGGCACTGGACAGGAAGGGGTTAACATTAGGGGCGATCAAAGGGTTAACTGTGTGCTGGGAGTGTTTTACTAGGGGGCCATGTCTGTGTGCTTTACTGTAATCACACTGCTCTGGTTAGCTGTGCCTGACAAAACAGTCTTCCTCTAGCCCCTTCCTCCCCAGCCGGACCATCCCTGCCCCACCCCTTTCATTCATTGGATTACAGTTCTTTCAGTCATGGAGGCTCAGCATCACATGTGGGCGTTATCTATGTAAATACTCTTTCATTACTCTCGGTGTCTATGATTAGGTGATCTTTGGTATACACATAATACTCCCGACGCTTCTATATTCCACCTTGTGCTCATCAGGTTATGGTCCTTGTGCTCGTCAGGTTATGGTCTTTGTGCTCATCAGGTTATGGTCCTTGTGCTCGTCAGGTTATGGTCCTTGTGCTCGTCAGGTTATGGTCTTTGTGCTCGTCAGGTTATGGTCCTTGTGCTCGTCAGGTTATGGTCCTTGTGCTCGTCAGGTTATGGTCCTTGTGCTCATCAGGTTATGGTCCTTGTGCTCATCAGGTTATGGTCTTTGTGCTCATCAAGTTATGGTCCTTATGCTCATCAGGTTATGGTCCTTGTGCTCATCAGGTTATGGTCTTTGTGCTCATCAGGTTATGGTCTTTGTGCTCATCAGGTTATGGTCTTGTGGTCATCAGGTTATGGTCCTTGTGCTCATCAGGTTATGGTCCTTGTGCTCATCAGGTTATGGTCTTTGTGCTCGTCAAGTTATGGTCCTTGTGGTCATCAGGTTATGGTCTTTGTGCTCATCAGGTTATGGTCCTTGTGGTCATCAGGTTATGGTCTTTGTGCTCAAGTTATGGTCTTTGTGCTCATCAGGTTATGGTCCTTGTGCTCATCAGGTTATGGTCCTTGTGCTCATCAGGTTATGGTCCTTGTGGTCATCAGGTTATGGTCTTTGTGCTCATCAAGTTATGGTCCTTGTGGTCATCAGGTTATGGTCTTTGTGCTCATCAAGTTATGGTCCTTGTGCTCATCAGGTTATGGTCCTTGTGCTCATCAGGTTATGGTCTTTGTGCTCATCAAGTTATGGTCCTTATGCTCATCAGGTTATGGTCCTTGTGCTCATCAGGTTATGGTCTTTGTGCTCATCAGGTTATGGTCCTTGTGCTCGTCAGGTTATGGTCCTTGTGCTCGTCAGGTTATGGTCCTTGTGCTCATCAGGTTATGGTCCTTGTGCTCATCAGGTTATGGTCTTTGTGCTCATCAAGTTATGGTCCTTATGCTCATCAGGTTATGGTCCTTGTGCTCATCAGGTTATGGTCTTTGTGCTCATCAGGTTATGGTCTTGTGGTCATCAGGTTATGGTCCTTGTGCTCATCAGGTTATGGTCCTTGTGCTCATCAGGTTATGGTCTTTGTGCTCGTCAGGTTATGGTCTTTGTGCTCATCAAGTTATGGTCCTTGTGGTCATCAGGTTATGGTCTTTGTGCACATCAGGTTATGGTCCTTGTGCTCATCAGGTTATGGTCTTTGTGCTCAAGTTATGGTCTTTGTGCTCATCAGGTTATGGTCCTTGTGCTCATCAGGTTATGGTCCTTGTGCTCATCAGGTTATGGTCTTTGTGCTCGTCAGGTTATGGTCTTTGTGCTCATCAAGTTATGGTCCTTGTGGTCATCAGGTTATGGTCTTTGTGCTCATCAGGTTATGGTCCTTGTGGTCATCAGGTTATGGTCTTTGTGCACATCAGGTTATGGTCCTTGTGCTCATCAGGTTATGGTCTTTGTGCTCAAGTTATGGTCTTTGTGCTCATCAGGTTATGGTCCTTGTGCTCATCAGGTTATGGTCCTTGTGCTCATCAGGTTATGGTCCTTGTGGTCATCAGGTTATGGTCTTTGTGCTCATCAAGTTATGGTCCTTGTGGTCATCAGGTTATGGTCTTTGTGCTCATCAAGTTATGGTCTTTGTGCTCATCAGGTTATGGTCCTTGTCCTCATCAGGTTATGGTCCTTGTGCTCATCAGGTTATGGTCCTTGTGCTCATCAGGTTATGGTGACCTTCTTCTTCTTCCATAGTTGGTGGTCGGGTGGACTTCCAGGACTTTGTTGATTTGATGACTCCAAAGCTGCTGGAGGAGACGGCAGGAATGATCGGGGTGAAGGAACTCCGAGATGCCTTCAAAGAGGTGAGAAGGTTTTATTGGTGGATATAGATCGTATAGAAACATCTCATGCAGATGTGTCCTGGATATAGGAGAATCAACATTTACAAATGAATGTATGAATGATTTAGGGTCCTTGCACTGATTTACGAACACCAAATGCTTCCTGGAAGAAAGTTCCTGCACAAAATCGTATGGTCCGTATTACCCGCCTAAGGTTCTGTATGCGTATATGCACATAAAAATTCCAGGACTCTTCTGATTTAGGCAGATTTGGACCCGTACATGAACACGGCCCAGGTGATTCAAGTATTTACATATTTATTCAGTTTTTTGGGCCTCTTTTACACTGGCGGCATTTTCTACCACCTTTTGAAAAGTGGCCCGCAGTGGAACCCCCAGCTGAATGGGGATTTTTTATTGAACCGTTTGTTCAGCTGTGCGCAGCCTCACGGACTTCAATGGGCAAGTTTTGCCGGGGGTGCAGCCTGTCAAACCCAGCATGGCAAATGAAGTTTGCCATGGGCACGAGGCAATGCATCATGGCCATGACATGTGTACAATCCCTTCCAATTTGGCAAGGCAAATTAATTTTGCCATGGAGCAATGCATCATATAGTCCCTTCCAACTGCCATATCTGCTTGCAGGTGGGAGGTCAGGGGGTGGTAAAAATACAGATCAACTACCTAGTTTTACCACCCCTTTCCCCCTGGCCACCCAAGTGGCTGACAGGCTGCTATGATTCTAGGACAATAGATGGTAACCAGAAAAGAGCTAAGGTTTCAGTTGACAATTAATTTGTCCATGATACCTATAGATACAGAGGTAATTGAGGGCCTGTTTTAAACTGATTTCACTGCCCTTGTTCTGAAAATGTAAATGCAGTGTGCTTAGTCCGAGAAAAGGTTCACTTTAATCAATACACAGTATAGGTTACCTGCAGCTACAGCCTCCAAAACGTGCTGGCTCTATAGATAGTCTCTAATTGGAATAAACTTTTTTTTTTTTGGACTTTTTACCTTTAGTAAAATAATAAAGTTTGTTTTTTTTGTTTTTTTAAATAAAATAAAAATGTAATTTTTTTTATTGAATCAAAGTATATTCATTTAATTAATTTATACATGTAATACGCGGAATATAAAAAAAAAATATTATTGCAGTAATAATCAACAATTATTTTTTAATTATTTTAATTTCTTTCATTTTTTTCATTACAAAATAAAAAAAAAATATTGTTTTTTTTAATTACAGGTCATTTAATGAAATAAAAAAATATATAAATTTTATTAAATTTAATACAGTATTATTATTAAAAATTAATAATATTTAAGTAATTATACATTTAAATAAACACTCATCTGGGCTTGAATATCACAGGGTGACATTTAAATTTCAGATTTACTCACGTGTTCATTGCTATCTGTATCCCTGCCTGGGCATCTGTCCCGGTGACCATTGTCAAGAAGACAGACACTGATTGAAAATCCAAAATCCCACTGCTGTCACATATGGGGCTACCTGTTTCGGTGACAACTGTACAGTAGAGGATTTCCCCTCACTTTGAAAAGATTTCTGCTCACTTCCTGCTGTGTCTCCAGAACAGGAAGTCAAGGGCAATCTTCTCAATGGTCACGGACAGCAAAAAAAAAATACCTTGAACAGGTTTAGCTATCCCCTATTCTATCCAGTCATTGTTAGGGGTCTACATACAATTGTACAATTTTCTGTTAGATTTACCAAAAAACATATAATATGAGGGCAAACCTAAACAATACATTCGATTTTTATTGTCAGGCAAACCCTTGCACCACATAGTTGAAGGTAAATCTAAAGGAGATTGCACAGAAATTGTACAAGAAAATTGGGTAATGTATGTCCAGCCGAAGGCAGGCCATAGATGGGTTGAAAATCGGCCGAAAATTCGTCCAAAAGAATAATCGGATCGTTAGTGGGTGAATTTGTCGGCCGTTTTTTTTCGTGATTTTGACACATTTTTTTAAATCGGTCATGTTAAAAAAATGGCCGATTTTGTGGATCGGCCGATTTTGACGGCAATGATGGTCAAATCGGCCGATCTTTTTACCGATTAAAAAAAATGCGCATGAGCCGTGACCTGCAAGAAGAAGGAAAAGAAGAAAAAGAAGAAGATGAAGACAGAAAAAGAAGAACATCTGTATCTATTTGTAGCCATACAGGATACAGAGGTTTCTATTCAGATACAAATAGATACAATGTTGCAACCGCTATACTTTTAAATGTCAATAATAGCGGAGTGACCCTGCAGAGAGCTCCACTATTATATTTGACATTTAAAAGTATTGTGGTTGCAACATTGTATCTATTTGTATCCGAATAGAAACCTCTGTATCCAAAATGGATACAAATAGATACAATGTTGCAACTTTGCTATACTTTTAAATTTCAAATATAACAGCGGCGCTCTCTGCAGGGACACTGCTATTATATTTGCCGGCCGTAGACGGGCCGAAAATCAGCTGATTTTTCTTTTTACCAATGGTGGTAACGTCGGCCGATTGAACGACCAATTTTTCATTTTTCTTTTTAAAAAAAGTCCGGTTTTTGCCCCGTCTATGGCCTGCCTAAGTCCTTGAAGATCTAAGGATATAAAGAACCTTCCATTATGGACAGCTTGAATAGAATAAATACATTTCCTGTCTCTTATCTTTTCCAGTTTGATGCTAATGGTGATGGAGAGATCACTTTGGAAGAGCTACAGCAAGCCATGCAAAGGCTTCTAGGAGAGAAGCTGACCAATAATGAGATTGCTGACGTAGTGAGAGAAGCCGATCTGAACGGAGATGGCACGGTGGATTTTGAAGGTAAGTTCTTTGGCCGGGACTCTGACCCCCGACACCTTCTCCAGCCTTCTTCTGACTATTCCCTCCCTCCACAGAGTTCGTCCGGATGATGTCACGCTGACCTTTCACCTTTCAATGCCTGATGTAAATGCTGCGTGTGACCGACGTTGCCGACTGTCCTCGAGAAGGCGGATGTTACACAGAATGTCTCAATTCAAGCCAACTCATCTCATGATCTAGACCATGATAGGAACCCATCAATGTGTGGTATATATAATATTCATCTCCTCGTCTATGACACCCAGTCCTAGATACTGAAGAGATTTTCTGAATCAATAAAGTTGATTTTTATAGATTTTTGGTTGCATGTGGATTATTTTATTGTATAAATTGTGTGTGTGTATATATATATATATATATATAATATATATATATATATATATATCCCAGCTGTCCAGTGATGAAGGCAAAGTGCACTCAGGCAACTGTAACTGGTGCTCAGCAAAGCAACAGGGATGACCAAGACAGTCCAAAGGTTGCAACACTCAAAGTTTCATTTTAATGAAATTGTATTATGTAACACTCCTACTTGTTAATATAACACTTTGAGTACTGTAACTATTGGGCTATATATAGTACATTATATATACTGTATATATACTGGCCTTTACATGCACATGAACTTTAATGGCCCCCAGTCTTAGTCTGTAGGGTTCAATATTGAGTTGGCCCCGACCTTTGCAGCTATAACAGCTTCATCTCTTCTGGGAAGACCATCCACAAGGTTTAGGAGGGTGTCTATGGGAAGGTTGGACCATTCTTCCAGAAGCACATTTGTCAGGTCAGGCACTGATGTCGGGGGAGGAGGCCTGGCTCACAGTCTCCGCTCTCATTAATCTGTGCAGGACAGTCAAGTTCCTCCACCCCAAACTGGCTCCTCCATGTCTTTATGGACCTTGCTTTGTGCACTGGTACGCAGTCATGTTGGAACAGGAAGGGGCCATCCCCAAACTCTTCCCACAAAGTTGGGAGCATGAAATTGTCCAAACTGTCTTGGTATGCTGACACCTTAAGAGTTACCTTCATTGGAACTAGGGGGCCAAGCCCAACCCCTGAAAAGCAACCCCACACCATAATCCCCCCTCCACCAAAAACTTTGCACTTGGCAACAGGGGCGGACTGACAACTCATGGGGCCCCCGGGCAATAGGGGATCATGAGACCTCTGTGTCCTTGCCCAAACTCAAAAAAGACTATGAAAAAGGTACCAGGGGCATCTCATGGGGCCCCCTACTGAACCCGGACCTTGGGCAGTGCCCGAGTTTCCAAATGGTCAGTCCGTCCCTACTTGGCACAATGGAGTCAGGCAAGTACTGCTCTCCTGACAACAGCCAAACCCAGGCACACCCATTGGATTGCCAGACAGAGAAGCGTGATTGGTCACCCCAGAGAAAACACGTCTCCACTGCTCTATAGTCCAGTGGCGGCGTGCTTTACACCACAGCATCCGACGCTTTGCATTGCACTTGGTGATGGAAGGCTTAGATGCAGCTGCTCGGCCATGGAAACCCATTCCATGAAGCTCTCTACACACTGTTGTTGGGCTCATCTGAGGCCACACCAAGTTTGGAGGTCTTTAGCTATTGACTCTGCAGACAGTTGTTGACTTCTGCACACTGTGCGCTTCAGCATGTGCTGACCCCGCTCTTTCATGTGACGTGGCCTACCACTTGGTGGCTGAGTGGCTGTTGTTCCCAGTTGCTTCCACTTTGTTATAATCCCACTAACAGTTGAGCGTGGAATATTTAGTAGCCAGGAAATGTCACGGATGGACTTATTGCCCAGGTGGCCACCTATCACGGGACCACGCTTGGAGTCACTGAGCTCCTGAGAGCGACCCATTCTTTCACCAATGTTTGTAGAAGCAGTCTGCATGCCTAGGGGATGGATTGTATACACCTGTGTCCATGGAGGGGATTGAAACACCTGAAACACATGATTTGGAGGGCGGGCCCAATACTTTTGGTAACAGTGTATATAAAATCTAATAAAGAAAACAACTTCTTCTCATGGTAAATGGTTTGGAAGGTTTATTTAGAAGAGAAGATATTATTACGAATTGAAGTGAAGATTAGAAAGACAGATTAGGACATACATGTAGAGGCCGGACATAGTTGATGTTTCCAGACCTAGCATCTTTGCCAAAAATAAAGGATTCTGGGTTTCAATCTTAGACAGTTGTCACATAGAACCTCCCAAAATATAACATTGTAACAAAATCACTTCACAGTGCAAGTAACACATATAGGAATTACATGAGACATTCATTTCTGATATTTTGGAACACCATATCATCCTTACCGAGACCTAGACTCTGAAATGTTTTATTGTAGAATATTAGGGGACTTAAGTTAGTCATAAATCGGTTGAATTTTAAAATATTTTAGGTTTTAAGAATGTTTTGATTCTCTAATCTTTAGGGGGGTTAAAATGACAATTGTTTAGGACTGCAGTGACAAGCCAATTGGAGGAGCAGGATGGAAAACATTTCACAGACAAGTGAATTTCTAATAGTGTATGTGGCTCTCATTTGGAAAGTTCATGCATCCAAACAATCAAATGTTGAAATTAAATTAAATTTTGAAGTGCTTTTGTCAAGTCATCGAATGTACGGGGAATTTTTACATGAGACGTCACAAGAATATTTATATGAACGTTTGCTTGAAAATCTACTAGTGTATGGCCAGCTGAACAATTTGTCTGCAGGTTGCACAACAACACGTTCCAAGGTCATTGTTCTAGTGACTCATCTCAGCCGGTTATATCATGAACCTTACATTAGCATATAAGCACCTAATACATTAGATACATTGAATATTAGTAAAGCATATAATAATCACTTTTCTTTATCAACTTAGATGGATAGATAGAAAGTTAATTAGATAAATAGATAGATGGATAATAGATAGATAGATAGATAGATAGATAGATATGAATAGATAGATAGATAGATAGATAGATAGATAGATAGATAGATAGATAGATAGATAGATAATAGATAGATAGATAGATAGATAGATAGATAGATAGATAGATAGATAGATAGATAGATAATTATAGATTGGTAATTAGATAAATAGATAATAGATAGATAGATAGATAGATAGATAGATAGATAGATAGATAAATTGATAGCTAATAGATAGATAGATAATTAGATAAATCGATAGATAGTTAATAGATAGATAATAGATAGATAGATAGATAATTATATAAATCGATAGATAGTTAATTAGATAAATAGATAGATAGTTAATAGATAGATAGATAGATAGATGATAGATAGATAGATAGATAGATAGATAGATAGATAGATAGATAGATAGATAATTATAGATAGATAATTATAGATAGATAATTAGATAAATCGATAGATAGGTAATTAGATAAATAGATAATAGATAGATAATTATAGATAATTAGATAAATCGATAGATAGATAAATAGATAGATAATTAGATAAATCGATAGATAATAGATAGATAGAGAGATAGATAATTATAGATAGATAGATAGATAGATAGATAGATAGATAGATAGATAGATAGATAAATTGATAGCTAATAGATAGATAGATAATTACATAAATCGATAGATAGTTAATAGATAGATAATAGATAGATAGTTATATAAATCGATAGATAGATAATAGATAGATAGATAGATAGATAGATAGATAGATAGATAATAGATAGATAGATTGATAATTAGATAAATCGATAGATAGATAATAGATAGATAGATAAATAGATAGATAGGATAATAAATAGATAGATAGATAGATAGATAGATAATAGATAGATAGATAATAGATAGATAGATAGATAGATAGATAGATAGATAGATACATAGATAGATAGATAGATAGATAGATAGATAGATAGATCAATCTTAGATATAAGAATAGATAAAGAGTCGGTTTGGTGGGCCAACATGATAGGGGTGGAGTTGCACAGCCTTCCCATATTGCTCCATTCCCTCGGAGAACCATCTGTTTCATATGCTGGGCAATGTTGAGACTTTAGGGATTTGACACACAATTGTATTTTTCTTCTGTTCATTCCTTTCCTCATTTTACTTTAAGCTGCTTACTAGTCTCTTTAGATGCAGTCACACCAGCACAGGACTCTTATGGGGTCTGGAGATACTGGTTTACTAGGCTTATCTATCTACACTGGTGGATGATGGATTCTGAATGGCAATGAATGTATTCTGCACGTTTTCTGTGTTTAAATGCTCATTGACTTTATTTATTATTGCTTTAATAAAGGTGTTTATTTTTTTGGGATATCATTAGGTGGTTCAGGCATTTGTTTTGATAATTAAAGTGATTGTAAACCCATCCATATGCCCAGTGAAGCGATACACAGAAATGAAATAAATCCTCCTACATAAGTTGTATCTGTTTATCTACAGCCGTCTTTCCCCTACATCCATTCAAAGTGCAGAATTTACACAGATCTCTCAGCTCTGAAAAGCAAGGGGTGGGGAGCTAAAGTTACACTCAGTGAAGAGCTCTGAGAGCTGATTGGAGAGAATGGACACACCCCCATCACACGGCACACAGGAGCAGAGCTAAGGCTTTCAATCACAGACTGTGCTAACCCCGTCACCATTTTTCTTGTGTTGGAAAAACTCATCAGAAGTGACTCATGGTGATAGCAGTGGAAGGAGGCAGCAGACAGAAATGACACTTGATGCTCTGGATTGCAATATGTACACACTATAGAGGGATATGCTTTGTCCATTTTTCACGTCTGAATTTTACAACCACTTTAAGCTAGGTTCGCACTAAAGTGACCTGAAAGTCGCATGACTTACAGTGCAACTTACGGTTGCTGATACTAACATTTATAGGTAAAGTTGATCCAGGGAATATCCGATTGCCTCTCGAGGGATCAGGAAGGAATTTTTTTGAGGGTTGTTTTGGCTTCTCTTAATAAAGGAACCTGTTAGTGTAAGGACTTACACTTTCTATACAAGTCTAAAGGAATGCCAAACCTGCTTGAAGTGGGTGAAATATAGGACACAAGAAGGTCAACTAAAGTTTCATCGCTCCTGT